ACCCCGCACCTCCGACACGTCGGTGCTTGTGCTTCTGCATGTCATTGACGAGCCCCAGCAAATCCGCTTGGGACAATCCTGGCTGTCCCTCGCCGTGCTGGAGCTTTGCCCACAATTGCTGCACATCCTCGCTGGTGTAGTCCTCGGCAGGGCGCTTGTCCCCCTGGCTAGCGGCCCCAGCAGCGCCGCCCCCAGGAGCAGCAGGCTCAGCAGCAGGTGCAGCAGGCTCCTGGGCGGTCGGCGGACCACCGGAAGGAAATTCGAAGAGACCCATCTGGATGTCGGGCTTCTGCTCCTGCATCTTGGCCTGCAGGTTGCCGTGGAGCAGCTTCTGCAGCCTCGCAAACTTGTCATTGGCCGCGACCTGCCTGAGGAACTCCGCCAACTCTGGGTCGCTCGCCAAGCCTGGATCCTCCTGCGCCTTCTCGAAGAAGTCCTCGGGGATCGTGGACGTCGGCACCACCAGTGGGGGCGCCGCAGCCTCGCCGCGCTGCCGCTGGAGCTCGGCCGCGCTCGCCGCCACCTGAGCTGCAAGCGTGTCCACCTCAGCGGCCTTGGTGGTGATGACCGCCTTCTTGCCAGCAATGTCGCTCTGGAGTTGGACCAGCTTCTCCTCGAGAGACTCCAGCTCCTCCTTGTGGCGATCCAGCTGCGCCCGACACTTCTCCAGCTTCTGCTGGGAGGCGCGGTGGACGGTGGCAGGAGGGCGGAGGGCACGCAGTTGCACCCGCTTCTCGTCCAGCTGTAGCTTGAGCGACGTGGTCGACTCGCCCTCCCCGCACTCGGTGAGGCTCTTGATGTACTGCTCGAGCGCCGTGATCTGCTTCTGCAGTGCCGTGCGCTTGGCAGTGTTCTCGTCCTTGGCGGCGTCTGCCGCCTCTTCTTCATGTGCGTGTACGTCTGGCTGCCCGCGTCCAGCACCTTTCTTCTGGGACCTGAGCTGCTCAGCCAGCGCGTCGCACTTCGCCTGCAGCTTCTTATACTCCGCACTCCATGGTGCCGGTGATGGCGAGCCCAAGCCGCTGCCGCCGACATGACGGGAGGGAACCTGCGTAGACGCCCCGGCTTGAGCTGCAAACTTACGGGCTCGTTGGATGACGTGCTGCGGTGCTGATGCCCCGCACCTGCACTTGACTCTGCACGCCCAGTTCGTCGATACTCCGCAGCTGGGGCACCCCCATGTCGGTTTCTTCGGCCCTGCGAGCAGGGAGCCTGGCGGCGCCATCGCGGCGAGTCTGGGGATACACGCGTCCAGACTCTGGCAACAGACCGGCGGCTTCTCGCAGGGCAACCCGAAACAGATGTGCTCCAGCAGGAGCTCACAGTGTAACTGCTCCAGCAGGAGCTCACAAAATCACTGGGAGCGATCCGCGGACTAGCGGTCTCCACGTTGCCGCTGGGCGACATGGAGTCTTGAGCCAAAATGGCTACGGAGGAGGGGGAGGAGGAGGAGGAGGAAAAGGAGAAGTGGTTTCTTGCTTTTGTGCCCCCCCCCCCCCTTCCCGTGCCCTCGGTCCTGCGGCCAGCCCCGCCCTCCGCCGGCGACTGCGCAGGGCGCCTGGCGGCCGCGGCGGGCCAGCAGCCCTCCAGACTGGCGCCCGGGCGCGCCGCCCGCCGGACCGCCGGGGGGGGGGGGGAGAGGGCGGGGAGGCGTCGGGCGTGGGCCCAGACCCCCTCGAGTCATGAAAAAATCACGACGCGAGGTTTCATGATTTTCGGCTTCTGGGGGCCCTTACTGGCCCTCGGGACCGTCAAAAAACGACTCGGGACGAAAAACCGGTCCCGGGGAATGTATCCGGACCTCTGGGGGTCGACGTCATGAAAAATTCATGACGTCGGGGGTCTGGGGGGCGGGGAGGCGTCGGGCGTGGGGTGGGGTGAGTGGTCTGCCACGTGCGCCGTCCCAGGTGGTGTTCCGAAAAACTTGTCCAAGGGCTCTCGCCCCTCCTGGCCCCATGGGTGGGCTTGGCACAGCGGTTCGCCCTGCGCCTGGGTATAGAGAAGCACAGGGGGGCGAGGTCCCAGCCAACGCAGAACAGGTGCTCTTGGCGCAGTACTTACTCACTCCCTGGAAGTCCTGCCGAATCGCAGGGGTCGTCAACGTCGGTCGCGAGGAGTCTCAGAGGACGGATCTTGCAAGAGAGGACCTGGTTGAGTGTGCGCTGCAGCAGGGCTGACGCTGCACGCCGCAGTTACGTGTGGGTCCGTCTACTGCAGCGGGCTGAGGGTCAGCATGGGCCACGGATCCCTCGGATTTCCTAGCTCGAGGGAGAGCCGGCGCACGACGTGTGGGGTTTGGGAGGGAGGCGCTCGGCTCGGCTCGGCTCGACGCCGTCTTGTCGAGCTATACCTCGTGCTGCATCCCCAGCCGTCTGGCCGTGCTCTCTTGGGCGCATGACGTGGGCCCTTGCCAGCCAGCACGCCCCGTCTGAGCTCACCTAATCTCTCACGCGTTCGGCACGCAGCTTGAGAAACGTGGCCGCGCGCGGTTTTGCAGCTCGAGTTCCAGGTCTGGTGCCTCCCGGGCCTTGGGATTCGCGAGCCCCGTTGGCACCGTATCGGCGTTCCTAGCTTGTCGGGGGTGGACAGAACCCCCACCCTGACACGTCGATCAGCGAATGTCCCGTTTTTTTGGTCCTCGACAGGGCGCCGCGGCCATCATCTTCCAGGCTTGCGCCTGCCAGGTTTCGGCCCGAGGTCGTTTTCACTAAGCCACGTTTTCATCTGAGGTTGGGGGGTGAGATCGAAGTGGAACGGAGAGCCCCCCTACCGGGAAATTCGATTTCGGTTTCGTGTTCGTGCGTGCCGTGCGGACGAGGCGAAGCTGCGTGGGCGGGCGAGAGAAAGTCTTCTGTGGCTGAGGCGCGGCCAGACCAAATGTCTCCCTTCCGGGCGGCCGGGGCCCCGCGGTGTCCCGCCGGTGTCCCGCTGGTGTCCCGTGTGGCTGAGGCGCGGCCGGACCAAATGATTCCCTTCCAGGCGGCCTGGGCGGTGTCCCGCGGTGTCCCGCCGGTGTCCCGCGGTGTCCCGCGAGGATGATGATGATGATGAGATGATGATGATGATGATGATGATGATGATGATGATGATGATGATGATGATGATGGTGATGGTGATGGTGTTGGTGATGATGATGATGATGCTGATGATGATCATGATCATGATGATGATGGTGATGAGATGAGATGAGATGAGATAATGATGATGATGATGATGATGGTGTCCCGATGAAGATGATGATGATGTTGATGATTGTGTCGATGATGATGATAGTGTCCCGATGATGAGGATGATGATGCTCATGATGATTATGTTGATGATGATGATGACGATGATGGTGTCCCGATGATGATGATGCTGATGATGATGATGATTCCGATGCTGTTGGTGATGATGATGATGTTGATGGCAATGGTGTCCCGGCGATAATGATGTTGATGATGATGATGTTGATGATTATGGTGTCCCGATGATGATGATGATGATGATGATGATGATGATGGTGATGATGATGATGATGATGATGATGGTGATGCTGATGGTGTCTCGATGATGATAATAATGATAATGACGATGTTGATGATGATGTTGCTCATGATGATGATGGTGCCCCAATGATGATGATGATGATGATGATGATGATGCTGTTGATGATGATGTCGATATTGATGATAATGATGCGATGATCATGATGATGATGATGGTGTCCCGAGGATGATGGCGATGTTGATGATAATGTTGATAATGAGAACGATGGTGATCATGATGGTGTCCCGATTATGATGATGATTCTGATGATGCTGCTGATGATGATGACGATGGCTGTGTCCCGATGATGATGTTGATGATGAGATGATGATGATGGTGATGATGATGATGTTGTCCCGATGATGATGCTGACGTTGATGATGATGTTTATGATGGTGATGATGATGACGGTGCCCTCATGATGATGACGATGTTGGTGATGATGTTGATGTTGATGATGTTGACGATGATGATGATGATGATGATGATGATGATGATGATGACGTTGATTGTGAGAGCGATTGTGATATCGATAGTGAGATCGATATTGAGATCGAATGTGAGATCGATTGTGTGATCGATTGTGAGATCGAGTGTGAGATCAATTGTGAGATCGATCGAATGAGATGGATCGAGTGAGATCGATTGTGAGATCGATCGAGTGAGATCGATCGAGCGAGACCGATAGTGAGATCGATACTGAGATCGATAGTGAGACCGATCGAGTGAGACGTTGGTCCCCCCCCAAACCTCCTTATCACCCGAAGGGTGGTCGTATAGGTATAAAGGGGTTTCTGTCCATCCTCGAATGGCCGCCTCTTTTTTTTCAACACGCTCACTGGGTCCCCCGTCATCTGCGCACCTGCCTGGCGCCACGATCCGCGGACCCCCCTCTTGGGCGCCTACCCCTCTTGGACGCCCCCCGATCTTGTGTCGGTGCGATCGAGATGGGCACGGCGGCGGCAGTGGATAAGGAACGCCTTCCCGGGGCCCAGACCATGCCCATCCCCATCCCCGAGTTTGAGGCCTCGCCCCGTGGTACGCCCGACGCACAGAGCCCACGCTCCCATCCGCCCCCAAAAACTCTCGCCCCCCTCCGAGGCGCTGCGCCCACCCCTCCATGGGGCGCCGCTGCCCGCCCTCTTCCCCGCCAGGGGCCACGGGGAGCGCG